ATTAACTTAGATTTCTAAAATGCTAAACAAGAATTGCTAGCATAATGCAATCTTAAAAAGCTACCAAGATCATGGTGTACACAAAATCGTAAGAAATTATAATTAATTTATGAAACTTTTTAAAGTGAGTATGAAAATGATGAGACACAAGTTATAACTCTGTGAACTCACAGCCTGGGACTGCACCTCGAAAGGGACCAATAGGAGGTGTGGATCTATACTTACCAGAGCTGCACTCAGGTGCCTCAAATGCTGGGCTGTCTTTGGACTCTCTAGCTAGATGGCAGCTCCCTGCATATGGGCAGACCTCTACCACACTACCATCGGCCTCAAGACCAGGAATTGGATGAGGGTCCCTATCCGCTGCTGTGTCCCATAGATATTGTCTGCATTGCTGGGCCTCCTCTTTATCCCACATTACCTGCATTCTCTCTCCCTTTCTACATGCTTACTGTTTCCCTGACTGCTAGTTTATCATAGCCTAACGTAGTTTATTTTCTACATTATATAAAAACCGAGTGGTAGTTACACAGTACGACTATCCTCATTTCACTTGTGTTTATTTATGTTTACTTACCTTTTCATTGTACTATCATACACATCTCTGCTTGTACTTGCTAGTCCCACTCAATAAAATTTGATTGACAAAAAAAATAAGTAGTCCCTACTTTGACTTATGGAACCTTTTTAATTGCGTTAGAATCTCTATGAAATGTTTGTTCATGTGGTCAGCATTAGTACTTATAAATATTTTGTTCTGTGAAATACTGAAATTTGACAGAGCTGATTTAACTTGTTTAAATAGATCAATTTATACAATATATCAATATAACCCAGCCCACACTACCCTGGCATCAACGCAACATTACAAATTGAAAGTAGACAGGGATATTTACTAAATTGTGAATTAACTTATGTTTTATATCATTTGTTCTGACCTAATATTTAAAACTCACTTTGAATTCATTTTAAAGTCACACTTTATCGAATAAAAATGCCTTCTGTTAAATAGTTGTTGAAGGTTACAAAAGCAATTAAAACTGAAAAACAAATAAATTCTTCACGTCATAAATTAAGCCCTCGGTTAAACGTCTAACGAAACACTTGGAGATAATGTGATATATGTGACAGAAGCGGTTGACACATAGAAACAGATCAAGCAAAATATGTAAAAGTGCTGGTAAAATAAAGCTTTTATTGGTTAATTTCAAATGAAATTATAGAAAAGTACATCTAAAACTACTCTATAAAAACAAATGTATATTTATGCAAATATATTCAACCCTCTGCCAATCCAATTAGTTGTGAAAAGAAAACAAAAGGAAAAAAATAAAAACAATCCCGTCCCAAGAAACAAAGACAAACAAAAGGCAACGAGAATTATAAATTAAATCGTACATAAATAAATAAAAAAGAAAAATGAAATGAAGTCCTGCTTCGTATGGAACTGTCTTCTTTTTGTATTCTTTTGGGAAAATAACATCTGGACTAATTATTTGTGTTTCAACTGTAATGTTTCCCCTGTTGTAGCACTAATCTGATAAATCCATATACATGCAAGGAAATCGACACCATTTTAAGGCAGTTAGCAGTCTTTTCGTGCATTAAATTTACAGTTTAGGATCGTTTTTGCAACAGAGCAACACTTGGCTGAATTTTAACTCAACGTGAATCCTGTATAAATCATATTTATCAATCTGGGAGAGGTGGATTGGCAGGGACATTGGGACAACTTAAAAGTCTACATTTGAATATTAATCACCATGCAAATCTTTTTAAGGTCTGCTTGACACTTTTGGGATATCTGTCTACTTAAATTACTTTTAGTTACAGATCAAACTTTGTTTGTTTTTTTATATATTTATTTTTTTATAATGCAATTGTTCAGAATGAATTAAATCTATTTATATGGCCAAACCCTCCAATATAAACATTACTGGACAGTTTGCTGAAAATGTTTCTCTGTTATGTATTCATCTATCCTGTGCTTACGTCACTTCCGTTCTGTTCATAAACTTTCCTGAATGATCAGGACTTACCAGCTTCCACAAAATCAGTCCAACCAATGGTTCTGGGAATGTGCTGCGAAATGACTAATTAAAAAAATAAAATAAACAAAATGAATCACCTTTAGACACAAAGTAACAATTCCAAGTCCTTCAATAGTAATTAAAGACACATATTTTAAGTACAAATATGACAATTTGGTCACATCACTAAGGAAAGCCAGAGCAGGATTAACCGCAAGGCAGTCGTCTTGTATGTAAACATATTAACAGAACACTCTAATGTTACAAATAGTGTCCTTTTTAACCTTCACAGGATTATTCCCTAACGGGAAAATTCAAAGTACATTTCAAACTTAAAGTTAAACTATTTTAAATAGAAAATAAATGTTCTAACAATTATTTACTAAAGGAAGAATTCAAAATGTTTAGATTAATTTGACTGTAGGGACTGCTCCAAAGCCACCCCATTAATAGGATACACAAGGTATATTACAGGCACCAACACAATGTAAATGCATTGTTATCCACATTCAAATCTATTTTAGTTTTGCTAAAAAAAAGAAAAATAGGTATTTCTCTATAACTCTGCTGTAGCCACATCCTCTCTCCACAAAGCAATTCATTGCACAATGTATTACAAGATGATCTTGAGAGACCAGGGAGAGCTAAGTTACTGACTTCCACAGCCAATCCCAGTCATTTTATTATCTGCCTCCTTTCCTCTTAGAAATACTACACAGAATGAATGCACATATATTTCTTTTTTTTAGCAAAAGTATAGAGATTTGAACAGGAAGAAAACTACAGCATAAATATTAGGTCAAAAGCTATCAAATGCATGTAAGCTGTGCTCGTGCCTTTAAGCTATACAATTTTATTTACTAATATTACATTTCAAAATGAGTTTCAAACTTAAGCCCAAATAAGCTGGTGAAACTTTGACAGTTTTTCCAGTTTGGCTATTTTGACCTTAAATTTGAAATTTACCTTGAATTCTCACTTTGAAAAACCCTGAAAGTGGTTTTGGTGTTGAATGCCCCTTTAAATTTCTTTAGAAGTAAATAAAATAAGGTACTGCCTCTCAAAGCAGCCTTAGCAGTAAAGCAATGCATTCATCCTGCATGATCATATTTCAAAATTAGATGAGGACTCTCTGATGTTGGGGTACTTTAACATACTGGGGACCATAACGCAGTGTGTCCATATGGTGAGACCAAAACTCCAAATGCTATCACCGTGTCCCCCTATCATTGCGTTTAATATATGGTTTTAAGTAGCCTTGAGATATATGAACTTGTACACTTTGTGTATGTATTGAATAGTTGAATTGTGAACTACACAACATATCAGTAAGATGATTGATTGGAAGAACGAACATGTCAGACTAACTTAAATAGTTATTCCAAACACCATGACCATTTTAGTAGTCATCGTGCCTGCAGTCTGTATGTGCAGCGATTTACGAACAAAGTTTAGACTGTTTGCTGCCAGCGGTGAAGGTCCATCTCCGGCAGCATCATCGAGGCAGCTGACGATCTCAGCCAATGAATGCCAATGAATCAACATCCTTAATTCTGACTATACCCTGACTCCACTTCAAGCCGGCGAAATAAAGGAAGAAGGGACTTCACAGCCTCTTTGCGAACATCTGGATCCAGGACTCCTTTTGTTACCACAGATATGCTCGTAACTCCAGAGATTTTGTAAGTGTTTTTAACCGTATGTTAATTTGAATAAAGGCTAAACAGAGAGCACTATGTCTCTATGTTCTGTTCCGTACAGATCATGCACGATTGAAGAGACTGACTTAATGGTCAACAGGTATTTAGGAATAAGACGACTTTGTACCTATACCTTATATCTGCAAATATAGGCTCTACATAATATATCAGCGACAGGGGATAAGCAGGCGATTTGTGGAAGGGGGTTGCGGGGGTTTTGTAGATGGGGCAGTACAGGATTTGTAGAAGGGGCAGGACAGAGGTTTTGTAGGAGGGGCAGGGCAGGACAAGGGTTTTGTAGGAGGGGCTGACAGCGGTTTTGCAAAGTTTACAAATTGTAAAAATAAAAGAAATAAAACCTTTTAACATTTTTTACAGGTTTTTTGGGAGGGTGGGGTGCCAAGCACAGGATCCGCCCCGGGTGCCAAATGCTCTAGGTACGCCCCTGCTTAGAGGTATTTTACTCTATGCTTTACCTAGAACTGATATTTAGCAGATTTTGAACTTTTTATTTGTTTTTTCAGGGCAGACTCTTTCCTATCTAACCCCCATTTTTTGAAACATTTTCATCCTCTATTTAGAGGAATCGCCACTCTATTTCTCCTGGTTTCTCGGATTAATCATCCTGATATAAGTCAATACCTTTAGTGAGATCACAATAGAAGTTTTACATCTTAATTTCCCTTCTCTCTCTCTTGTGAGGGTGGAAATATCTGAGCAAAATATGTTGAGAACATTGAAAAATGAAAAGTAAAACAAAAGTTAGAAATCCCATTTGGAGCAGAAATCTTGCCAAGTGGTTACTGAATATAAATGCTGATTTATTCCCAAAGTCAATGAGGTTAGGTGGCAATATATAAAAAGCAGAAGGATAATGAATGAGATTGCTTTCTAGCCCTTATTTAATGGGAGTTGACAACTGGAATATATTCTCAGTGGAATTAATAAAGGCTAACACACAGAAATAAAACTTGCAAGAAGGAAATAAGTAAAATAAGTAGGTCCCGTTTCTTGTTAAGATATTTTCTTATTTTTTATCAATTAACCTTTCCTGACTGTCTGTATTTCCACCTGTTTCCATTGTATAAAGTCGTAAAAAAATCACATTGAACATATAGATAGAAACCAATAGCACAATCTCTAATTCTCCAATTCAAACTATAGTGTTACACTCAGGGAGCCAAAGAGCAGCTGTTACCACTGAATCACTGTGGAAGGAATCCACGGAACATTAGGATTATTAAAAATCCAAATCCAAAGGCTTCACCGTATGCTGCAATCAAACGTAGCTTATTTTGAATCAGGAGAACAAAGTCATACACAACATTGTGGCCTCAACCCTTAGTATACATGACTAAGACTTGAGAGCGAAATGTCATCTCTAGTTTTGTGATCCGTGTTGTGAATAAACTAGAATTGTAAATTGTAAAACCAAAATCCAAAGGCTTCACATTGTAGTGAAGTAGGAATATTGCACTACAATGTGAAGCCTTTGAATTTTGGTTTTACAATTTACAATTCTATTCCTCTGAAATACAATGGGACCTGAGAGCACAGACAATTTACCTTGACATATAACAACTCTCTTTCGCTGCCATCTTTCTATTTTACTAAAGCACCCAGACAGAAGCTACTACCGATTCCCGCCAATGAGGAAGAGCCCAAGCCATCACCACAGATTCCCACCAATGAGGAAGAGTCCAAGCCATCACCATAGATTCCCACCAATGAGGAAGAGCCCAAGCCATCACCATAGATTCCCACCAATGAGGTAGAGTCCAAGCCATCATGACTGATTCTCGCCAATAAGGACGAGTCCAAGCCATCACCACCGATTTCCACCAATGAGGAAGAGTCCAAGCCATCACCACCGATTCCCACCAATGAGGAAGAGTCCAAGCCATCACCACTGATTCGAACCAATGAGGAAGAGTCCAAGCCATCACCACCGATTCCCACCAATGAGGAAGAGTCCAAGCCATCACCACCGATTTCCACCAATGAGGACAAGTCCAAGACATCACCACCGATTCCCACCAATGAGGAAGAGTCCAAGCCATCACCACCGATTCCCACCAATGAGGAAGAGTCCAAGCCATCACCACCGATTCCCACCAATGAGGAAGAGCCCAAGCCATCACCACCGATTCCCACCAATGAGGAAGAGCCCAAGCCATCACATCACTGGATGTCAGACATGGAAAACCTACACAGCAGTGCCCATGCATTATACACTAAAGGTCTTTCTATCATGTTGTGGATTATTCACATTTAACATATTCTGTGTTCTGTTGGTTTTTTACTTTTATTTATTTGTGGGTTTTTTCCCCCATTTTTGTCTTGTTTTATACAAATACATTTTTTTTCTGGTTTCTTATTTTTTGTAGCAGTAATACAGGTCTGCCCAAAAGATAGATCCCCAGATGTTGTAGAACTACAACTCCCATGATGCTTTGTGTATTCCTTTAGAATGGCAAAGCATCATGGAAGCTATAGTTTCAAAACATCTGGGGATCTACCTTTTGGACACCCCTGAAGTAATAATTGTGTTTTATATTTTGCCTGATGTTTTATAAATCTTGTAGTTTTATTCATGAAGAACAATTATGGGGAACACTTTAAAAGCAGTGCGGTCAGCAGAGACATTCCTTTGGCTTCCAATGCTGGCTGCTACACTTTTAGAAGATTTTCCCAGATTTGCTTTTTATAAATAATAACAATAGTAACATTTTTGTTATGCTTAAATCTGATTTTAACTAAATCTTACATCAGGAAGTTATGTTATTGGTAAATGCAAATATTACAAGTTTTAAAATGCAAATATTATATTTCTCAAACTGTGTACTTTGTCTTTAAGAGATATTGCAAACTGACAAGGTGTTAGAAATGGAACATATTGTTTTTCATTAAGCAATAACCTCTTACCTACCTACAGTGCCTAATATGTTTACGCCATTATGTCCCAGACGAATTACAATAACAATAATGCATAAACAAGCTTCAAGGCTATGCTACGACTCTCTCAGTACGTAAAATACTGTGGTAACCTTAGTAGATAAGGATGTCCAGACTGTAAGATGCCACCTTGACCTAAGTCAGGAACATTTCCATGATGTGAACACCCTTTAGTTATGGCCTTGTATTTTTGCCAAGTTAAGGGAGGTCCTAAAATGAATAAAGTAAAAGAAGTGTTACTTTTTCATATCTGAACTACGGTGACCCTAAAATGGAAACACCTAAGGTCTAAATAGGTGTACTTTTAAAATGTTAAGACACAGAGGAGAGACTTGGAGACAAACGCTGCTCCATCTTAAAATGACAGAGAGGCTGACATGATGACATGTTCAGAAGGGTATGTTAACCTATTAAAGATATTTACAAGCATGTAATTTAATCTTATAAACTCTGCTATAATGGATTTTATATTTATATTTTTATATAATAAATATCCAAAAAGACAAAACTATTGCTTCTAAGACAATCCTTATTTTATATTGTATTCTCAATTATTTATATATGTTAAATAGAGGATCTCTTACTAACTATATAAAATTATGGCTAAGATATCTGTATGGTTAGCCGTACTAGGTTCTATGCTTTAAGATGTTATAGTGGTAAATAAGGGAACCAGCCGCGGTTACAGTTATAGCATCTGTTAACAATTACACCCATCAATTTGTCATGTACAGGGACAACAAAAGTTCCAAACTTGTGAAATAACATAGAAACTTAACAATACATTAGGAGGTAAAACAAAACAAAAATATGTACACATTAGCAATCTGAAAAAGATTGCAAAAAAAAAGTAAAATATACAAATGAAGGGCAATATATATAAAGCATATGCAATTTGTATTAGAAACCTGTCTTGTAACTTTTCTGGCCGTCATGATATCATTCACACTAATACTATCCTTTCAAATAATAATAATATAAAAAATTAATTTGCAGTATTTTCCCAGATTCACTCAGCTCTCATATCTACCTGCCTTACAAATGTAATCAATTTATATGCTAATGAACTCTGTTTGTGAAACAATCTCCTCACATTTCGAAGAAATTTGCTCTGCAAATATGTTGCTCATCTTAATGGAGAGAGAAAATTGAGTATGCTGAATGTCAAACAATAACATACGTATGGATTTCAATATAATGTGTTCACTGATAGAGGTCAGATCTTCAAACGAAGCTTCAATTTAATAGCAAGCTTAACTTGTTTTGCAGTCACATTTCCCAACTGACCGGTGATGCTGTGCAATAAACAGGCTAATTACTGTCCTAAACAGCAAAGAGTCAGAAATGAAGCTTTGTGACGTTATATGATATGGCTTGTTGGATTTAGCAATTATCTTTTATTGGAAGTTCACAGGTTTGGGGGAGACCAGGGCAATACTTTGTGCTAATACTTCTTTTGGTTCACCCCTTAAATATTGAAACAGATTAAAACAATGGTGTCATCAAACTGAAAAGCTAAAAACATGATAATAATAATAATAATAATAATAATAATAATAAGCATAGCTGCTGTTAGGGAAGGAGGTGTCCAAGTATGAAAGTATGCATTTTTTTTAAAACCTATTTGAAAATGCCTCAAAATTGGTTAGATAATCCAATATGACTTCCATTCCAGCTGATATAAGCGCTCCATATTGAAGATGGCAGAACGTAACAGAGCTATTTATCACAATTACAAGTTTTCAAATTATCAAGCAGTTTTCATGTTATGCTTATTTGAAAATGTAATTGTGATTTTTTTTTTTATAGTTTGGAAATGGCCACCAAATTATTTGATTAATTTACTCTTCCGGAACAAATATAAATATATTCCATAATACAGCTTCGCACAAAAAGTGTCACTTCTGTCATACACATTTTTTCTCCGAAAATAACGAAATGTTTCACAAAAATGTTAGACATCTACAATTCCCCAAATTTTCATGGAATTATTTATTTTTCAAATTCAAAATGACCATTCACCTTTCACTGGCCTTTCACCCCATTTTGCCCTTGCCACCTGTGGTGTTGAGTAATCATATATTAACAAGTAATATAATATGATAGTGAAATGCCTAGAGAGATAACAGCCATACCTGCCACGGTTATGTAAGGGAAACCACAATTCACAGACCTTAATCCATTAAGAAAGGTATTCCACGTATTACCAGGCCTTAGATTTAATGTATAGAAAAGTCAGAGAGAAAGACTCTGTCAAGAGTAAGTGAAAACAGGACAATCGATAAACAAGCTACAAGGTCGGAAACACAGAGGGAAATGTTTAAACAATCCAAGGTCAGTAACAGAGAATCCAATACAATATAAACATATTCTTGGGTAAACTAGAAGCACAACAGGGCAACTTGGTCATCAAGCTCTGACTTTAATTAGCCAGAGCACTTACACTATTAGCTGGTATCATTTTAGAACTCCTAACTCCTAAGAAACCTAAATTCGGCAAAATGCTGAATTTGGGACTTTCCTGTGTTTGTCCATTGATAGTGAGGAATTTTCTCTGTCAGGAATTTTTCCCTTGCCATGGTCTTTCGTATCAATTTGGAACTCTCTGTATTTCTCCTTTGTCCCCTAACCAGCTGGCGAGTAGCCCCAAAGAACAAGACAAGACAATTCCAGGTTCAATGTGACTTCTCAGCGTTTAATGAGCTGTGTAACAGTTTATATTCAAGAGGAAACAGGGGTGGTCTTACAAGCATTATCCAATCCTAACAAAATCATCTTATCTTATCTTAACATCCTAACCTATAGCAAGCTTGCAGGTGCATCTTCATGTTCGGACCTTGCACACAGCTAAATTCCACTATAACCACACACTCCAAAGTAATATGCATGCACACTGTGTATTAAAGATATTTACAACTAAGTTCTGAATTACACATTAGTATGCAGTTATGATCAAAGAGAGAAAAACAGGAAATAAGGCCGACAGACAGAAAAATACAGGATATAACACCTGTGACTTGATACATGATGTTCTACAGCATATAACACCTATTACTTGTTACATGATATTATACAGCTATTTATTGTCTAGGGGTATATTCACTAAGCATTGGATATAGATAAAGTATATTTTTTGCAAATAGCTGACATGTTTACCAATTTTAAATAGACCGAACATCCTGTCATCTGTAGCTTGAGCCTTGGGTCAGTAAAGGCAAAGTGTATTCTTCCCAACATTCATACAGACTGAATTGGTGCTCAGTCATGGCGTTCTGACTTTCTGAGCAGCATGTAGCATCTATCCCACTGCCGGATCGTGGAAAAGATTGCAGGAAAAGGTAAGCATTACAATACTTCACTGACAGTACCTAAAAAGGTTGAAACGATCATTACGCGTTGCTGTATCTCTTGTGCTGAGAGAGCCGGCCTGTGTTTTTGAACTGCTCTGCCCTGGGTTGGTCCCGTCTGATATATAAATGGCTCTGGTTCTTTTTGTAATGGCAGAAGATGAGCTAAAACCAGTGTGAGATCTGAGCGGGGACCCACCGAAGGGCAGGCTAATAGGGAGAGAAGAAAACAAGTTGCAAGAGAGTGCTGAGAATGGACAACACTCTCTTGCAACTTGTTTTCTTCTCTCCCTAACTTTAAAGGGTAATCCAGACGTGGACCTCATGGTACCCAGAGGGATATCGGCTGTATCTCACTGACGATGCCTAACAAGGTTTAAATTATGATTTAGAGTTGCTGTATCTCACTTGCAAAGAGACAGCCTGCATTTTGGATTTGTGGGATCAGCCTGATATGCAAGTAGACCTGGTTCCTTTTCTAATAGCACAATATGAACTAAAACCAGTTTGAGACATGAAAGGGGAACCAACTGAAGGGCAGGCTAATTGAGCTGTTGACCATTCTCAGCACTCTCTTGCAACTTTTTTTTTTGCTCTCCCTAGTGAAAAAATATACACTTATGCAACTGAAAAACATCTTTAAGGAACACTTGAAGGCCATTAGCCTATGGCAACCTTCTTAGTAAAGAAGATGTTTGGATATCTTTTCATATCACAATAGGGCATCCAAACCAACTCACTTCTCTTCAAATCAGAAACTAGGATTAACATGACTTGTTACAGCAAGTTGCAAAACTGTAGCACAGACTGTTTCGTAGAAGCAATGTATAAGGTCTGTCCGTAAGGTATCCATCCATGTATTATGAAAAATAGAGACCTTTATTGAAGAAGATGCACCTCATGCACTCACCCAGGGAGCACCTCTGGTGGCCGTCTGAGTGACTACCATTGGAGGTTTCCATAGCGAGCAGTG